GCAGTGAGTTGCAGGAAGCCATTGCAAGTGGAACTGGAGCTCAGGAGCCCATTTTTGCTGGTAAAGTGCTTGGGCCTCTAAAAGCATCCCCAACACACATAGCATCAAACTGCCCACCCTGGCCCATCCCAACTCCCCAAGGTCAAACACAACCTTGATGCAGCCCTCAATTACATTGAGTTTGACACCTCTGGCATAGACTCTCTAAACTAAAGCAAGTTAAACAATAGGTCTAGAAAGATATTAAATTCATGAAATACTGATTACTTGTTCTCTCAAAACCAGCATAGTCTTTTTAGTTCTACCCTAACTTCCTCACTAGAGGCCTGATGTACTTCTCTATCTAATCAAATACCTACTGCTATATCCAATCACAGCCATATTCTAATTGTCATAAATTTGCATCTCCTTAATTTACAGGTTAGCCAGGCTAACTATAGTTCTGTAAATAAACAAAGAAATGGGGCACTGGTCTCCAATTTTAAATGAACTCTTTAGAAAACCTGTGAGATGAACAAATTTCCTCTCATCGGAATCTATTCTTTTCTGCTAATTTGAAAATGATACTTTGTGATATTATGCCTGTGATATATGTTCACAATGTGCCAGTCTTTCATCTCAACCACTGAGATAAAAATCTGGTTTTTAGTTTTACATTATACCTATTGTGTAATATCTATGGCTTTATGTGCCATTTTATTTTAATAAAATGATAAAAGTAAAGGTTTCCCCTGTCCAGTTTAGTCCAACTTTTAGTGGGTGATGCTCATCTTCATTTCTTAGTTGAGGAAGCCAGCGTTGCCCAAATACATTTTCAAGGTGATGTGGCCAGCATAACTGTATGCCAAGGCACTCAGAATGCTGTTACCTTCCAATCGAAGTGCTACCTATTTATTTACTTATGTTTTTGTGCTTTTGAACACTATGTGGAGAGGAGCTGGGGCAAGTAAAAGGAGCTCATCCTATCATGCAGTACTTGAGTCTCAAAGCCAGGCTCTCATCTTTCCAGCTGGCAAGCTCAAGATCTTTAACTGATGAGCCACTATGCCCCCAATGCAAATAAGCAAAACAATACAAAAATTAGTTTGATCATATTCTGTATGAGTTCTAATATTTGAAAGATTAATCAAAAAGTTAATATGAGTTAAGTACAGTTCTACACAATTTCATTGACTGCATTAAAAAGTTTGTCTATTAGTGCCCTTATAATAGCTAATAATAATGCCTCAATTGAAGCATTAACCAGAGGCCATTATGCTATATTCTTATTTCTTTCAATATTGCATACGTCTTCAATAATACAGTATCTTCTACACTGTAACAATAGCAATGTATACACGCATTAGTTCATTCATTCATTCACTCATTAATTTCTACAGATATGGATGATTGTTTGCCATGCCCAGAAGGACAGTATCCAAACAACAACCATGACTCGTGTCTTCCAAAACATACCATTTTCTTATCTTATGAAGACCCATTAGGTATCAGTTTGGCCACTGTCACAGATGTTTTTGCTTGCATTGCCACTGTGGTGCTTGGGATTTTCATCAAATACCAGGACACTCCCATAGTCAAGGCCAATAACCGGAATATCACTTACCTTCTTCTTGTCTCTCTTGTGCTCTCATTCCTTTGCAGTTTATTATTCATTGGAAAACCTGAAAAAATAACCTGTATTTTGTGACAAACTCCTTTTGAGATTGTCTTCTCAGCAGCCATTTCTTGTATATTGGCCAAAACCATCAATGTGATTTTAGTTTTCATGGCTTCAGTGCCAGGATCCAAGATGAAGAGATGGCTGGGCAAACGATTAGATAATTGCATTGTTGTTTCTTGTTCCCTCATTCAAGTCATTGTTTGCACTGCATGGCATGTAATTTCACCCCCATATCTGCTGATATGAACTTAATGATGCTGATATGAACTTAATGGCAGATGAAATCATCTTGGGGTGTAATGAAGGCTCTACTGTCATGTTTTACTGTGTCTTGCTGCACCTGCTTTTCCTTGCCATTGTTGGTTTCTGTGTGGCTTTCCAAGCCCAGCATTTACCAGACAGTTTTAATGAGACCAAATTTATCCACTTTAGCTTGTTATGGTTTAGCAATGTCTGGTTGTCCTTTTTTCCAACCTATCAGCACCAAGGGGAAATACATGGTGGCTGTGGAGATCTTTTCTATTCTCTCTTCCAGTGCAGGATTACTGGATTGCATCTTTTTTCCCAAATGCTTTGTTATTGTACTAAGACCTAATTTAAATAATAAAAAACAGTTAATGAGAGATAAGAAATACAGTAAAATTCCGTAATATTGGTTCAGTCAAAGATACATTTTCTGAAGAACATTCAGAAACTGAAACTGGTTCAAAAAGAAGCCATCAGAAGTCATATCAATCCACCTATCCCTTTTGATTCCTCTCAGCACTCAACAAACCCCTTTCCCTTGCACCATATTAGAAATACCAACCATACCAACTTTAATTTGGAGAATATTAACAATGAGCTATTTATCATATTGAAATAGTTATTTTCATTTTCTTTCCTTTCTTCTTATGTTTAAATGTAATAATTTTGAGAATGCATTAACATGCCGAATTTTCATAACGGTGAGGAAAAAATGGCATCAATATTCAAACCCCAGTGTCATATTTGTGGTCATCCTGTTTGTGCTTGACATGATTTCCCCCAAACCATTCCTAATAATAAAACTTTAGGTCAAAAGTTCAGGCCAATGGGAAGCTGAAGATCCAGGTGTGCCTATCGGACACTTGAAAGAGTCATTTAAAAAACAAACAAACCCCGCAATCCTATAAACATCTTGAAAACAGGATTTTGGGGATTTTCCTAACCCTTCCTGAGTCTCTTTAGAAAGTCTTGGATAGTTAACACCATGTCTACTGATCTCAGAGCTTCAATGCTGGCAATAACATTTTTCCTCTTTATATTCCTCCATTCAGCACTGGAATTCATCTGACCAATGATGGCTGTTTAATTTCATTCTATAGTTTGACAAAGAAATTAACAGTGATGGAATGTAGTAAGGAGCTGGATTCCCACCAAGGAGGGGGTGTATTCCAGAGGAGTGAGAAGCAACTCAGTGATAAAAAAAGGGTGAGGACAGCTGTACTCAAATAATTCATAGAGTACACTGTAGATGTATACAGTAGAGATGGAAGGGACCTAGGAGGTCTTCAAGTCCAACTCCCTGGTCAAGCAGGAGATTCTATAACATTTCAGACAAGTGGCTGTCAGTCTCTTCTTAAAAGCCTCCAGTGATGAACTACCCACAACTTCTGAAAGCAAGCTGCTCCACTGGTTAATTATTCTCAATGTTAGGAAATTTCTCCTTGGTTCCAGATTGCTTCTCTTCTTGTTCAGTTTTCCATCAATTTTTCTTGTTCTGCCTTCAGATGCTTTGGAGAACAGGTTGACTTTTCTTCTTTGTGGCAGGCCCTCATATATTGGAACACTGCTATCATGTCACTCCTAGTCCTTCTTTCTAGACTTGATTTAATCATATCAGTAAACTTAGATTCCTAAATAACTCCTTTTGGTATTGTTTATTTTTTTCTCACTAGCCTATCATCATAAGGGTAAAGAAGGAAAAACCTTCCAGTCCCGTGCTTGAGAATATCAATAACTTGAAATACACTAGTGGTGGAGACTTGTATAAAGGCACACAATGTTCTTCTAGTCTCTTTTCACTGCCTTGTAGAATCATCTTTTTGGTTCTTCATGGAAAAGGAGACATGGACTGGGAAGCAGGGAACTGAATCATCAAGCCCAGGTGCTTGTTTTTTCACTTTATGATTTCTTATTTATTTATTCATTTATTTATTTATTTATCAAATTTATATTACTACCCATCTCATGGAAAGTGATCTTTGGCTGGTGTAGAACAATAACATAAAATGATAAATGAAATTATTATAAATCAAACTATAAAAGTAGACCTAATAAGAGAAAAATATAATATATGGAGGGATGTTAATAAATAATGGAGTCATTTCATGAGTTTTGGATCCCTCGAGGCAGTGATGGAATTCTACCAGTTTACCTACCAGTTTGGTGATCGTGCACTTCACGCGACTTCATGCCTGAGTCTAGAGGCCAAAGTGTGTTAAGGGCCCCATTTCTTGCATGTGTTATTACTCATAGGAATAATTTTACTTGAAGATATATATTTTTATTTTGTACTGTTTCAATTATTGGAAATTTTTAAAATTGTGTTATGGTGTACACAGCCCAGAGTCATTTGTTGAGATGGATGGCTATTGAAAACAATTAATTAAATGCACAAACACACACACCCCACAAACAAACATACACACACAAACACAGGCACGCATACATACTGCTATCTATGTTAGCATTCTATTCTCTTTATGAGACCAAATGTTCAGCTAAACACAAAAAAGTTTGCAGAAATCTTGAGGTAATATAATTCATATGTATCCATGTTTACAGGAAGATTATTAAAATGGTCCTCCTGAGGTTCAAAAATATGCCAAAATTGAAAATTGCCCTAGGAGAAATTAAAACTGCCAAGGAGAAATTGAAATAAATGAATTAATTAATAAATAATTCTTTTTCATGGCTCTTTCAAAAGTCTTATTCAGTTATTGTTTCTTTTTGTTCATAAGGGATATTATACACCTGGTGTTCCTCTTATGTTCAGAAAATAAAATAGCAGCTGAGCTGTGAGAACCATCAATGGGTTGACTTCTGAGAACATGATGGTGAACTTAGAATTCCATGTTGGTCATTATTTCCCCATTAGGTCATAATTATGAAAAAAAAACTATGTTTAATGCTGTCTCCTGCTAGCATAGCTGGTACACATTCCCTTGGGATGGGAAGATACTTAACTATATTAATACTTCATGTCCCATATAGAGTCGAAGCTAATGACAGGCAGGCTTTTACACCTATGATTATTGATAATAAATATTATACAGTTCTGGCTATAGGTGGTTTTGCCTCTTGACTCAGTACTCAAATGTCAATGAAGGAACAGACACTTTGGAAGAAGGCAGGAGATTTTTCAGATAAAGTGATATTTTTTGTGGCCCTAATGATAGCTATACAGACTCTACCTCATACCTTAAATAAGGTTTCTATTGCTAAGTGTCCTGTTGGTAAGCCTCTTTTTATTCTCCACAAGTATTACCAGCCAGGAGATTTCATCATTGCAGGCATTTTCTCTCAGATCTACATTTTTTCAAGTCCAATCAGCTTTCAGAAACCACCTTCTGAGGAAGGTTTTGATGATCTTGTGTAAGTAGCTTAGGCTTAATACATTATAAGCATGTTATGTTTGACAAGATAAGGTGCTCAAATTATTCATGCTATTTATAGAGTTCACCTAACACTACAATCTGGGAAGAAGAAAAGAGAGAGAGAGAGAAAAATGAGGGAAAATATTATAAGGAATCTTTCCAACTTTTCATGCAAATCAATCAATCAGAATAGAGCTGGTCTTGTAATCCAATCCCCTAAGCAAAAGATCCTACACCATTTCATACAAGTGACTGTTCAGTCTCTTCCTAAAACCCTCCAGTGATGAAGCACCCACAACTTCTTCTCCCCCGACCCAATTTTATTGATTTTTTTTATTAATTACATTTCTTAGTGCTTAATAAACATTGTGTTGTATGGGTATTTAATTTGCTTAACAATTCTGATTATCTTCTTAATCTCCACCACTTTTTTCCAACCACTGGTAAAATAGATTCCATGTTTGATAGTATTCTGGAAGCACCCACAACTTCTGATTGCAAGCTGTTCCACTGGTTAATTCCCTCGTTGTTACGTTGCTTCTCTCCTTTGTTAGTTTCCATCCATTGTGTCTTGTCCTGCCATTTGGTTATTTGGAAAATAAATTGACCCTTTCCTCTTTGTAGCAGCTTCTCAAATATTGGAATACTGCTATCATAACTCCCTCAAATCCTGCAACCATTCTTCATAGGTTTTAGTCTCTAGGTCTTTAATCATTTTGGTTGATCTTTTCTGCACTTTCTCCAGAATCTCAAATTGTGCATATGCTTTTGTCTTCATCTGCTAATTTTCATCTCTTAAACTTTGCTAGAGTGGTTCTCAAGATGCTCAGAGATGGAAGCACCTACAGGGATGTAAAGATATAAAATGCAAGAATACCATGATGCCCTACTTCACAGAAATTTATATTGTAAAAATAGATTACATTTTATTACTTGCCTAGAATCACCACAGTGAGATGGGTTGCATAGAAGTTTAGCAGCAAGTAAAATAAATGACATGAATAGATATCAAATATTGTAAACAAATAAACAAGATCTTGCAATAGCTCTTAACATTTTCATGTTTCATGTTTCAGTAATATCCCTAAAGAAATACAGTATGTTTCAATGAATAGATGAATAGATATCAAATATTGTAAACATATAAATAAGCCCTTGCAATAGCTCTTAACATTTTCATGTTTCAGTATTATCCCTAAAGAAAATACAGTATGTTTCTGAAACTGTAAGAGTAATTCTTTAGTTTTCTGTGTGAAAATAACTTCGTAATTTCCAAAACATGTTCTATGCAGCTGATTTGAGCATTGCCATCTAGAAAACAGACTTAACCTGGAACTATTTTTTTAAAAAAAATATAGGATATTCACTCATAATTACCAGCACATCCTGGCCTTGGCATTTGCTGTGAAGGAAATAAATGAGAATGCCCAGCTCTTACCCAATGTGAGTTTTGGCTTCCACATTTTAAATAGTCATTTCTTTGCAAGATGGACCTATCTTGCCTCAATGGAATTACTATCTACAAAGGACAAATTCATCCCGAACTACAAATGTGATATTCACAATAACATTTTGGGAGTCATTGGGGGACCTAATTCTCAAGTTTGTCTTCACATGACAAATATCCTGAGTACTTACAAAGTACCACAGGTAAGCTGTAGGCATTGAAATATAATGAGGAATAACTGCATTTCTTAAATTTAAATATAATCTTATGTATGTGTGCCAGAAAATGGATATCTCATTTTAAAGATCCATGACCCTTTTTCTCTTCTGAAGAACCAACTTGGTGAATGCTTAATCTGTTTGCATGTGAAGGATCAGCATGATGAATTTGTATTAAACTCATCCTGTATCTACCCATTCTACTCATGTCAAGCCATGCTGTTATCCCAGGAATTCATGTGCTTAACAGCCTTCATTGTAAGACTTTGAAAATTGTAGTATTTCTTTCCATACTTAGATGAATCAGAAAGTAAGATAGTACAAATGACTACATGCTTATGGCATGCTAACTCACTCTCTACAAAAATCAGAACAACTAACAGCAAAGCAAATTGTGCTTTGCAGAGCAAATTTAGTAAGTGATATCTTTTCCAGTCCAAATGTTAGCAAATCAAAAAATAACTCCCTTGGTTATTTTTAGAACATGCAACATTTTACCCCTGATCAAGTAAGCCACTTACTCTCTCATTCATTTGAATGATCATTACTATTTGTGTTGAATTTCTTAGCAAGCCTCTTTTCTAAATCTAGTAAAAAGAAATTATTCCATTTTGCCTCTTGAAATGGAATTTTAATCTTAATTTTTTAGACTCATTTGATTTTTTAAAAGTAAATATCCAATGATAAATTCTTTTCTAAATTGCACTCCATAATTATTCCCCATAAAGGTGTTTTTTTTTTAAAAAAAAAATCCTACAACAACTTTTTTTGCTGTAAAAGGTTCTCCTAGGAACAGGAATACACTGTACATTAAAGGACACTACATAGTTGACAATGTTAATTCTAAGTCCCATTGAAATTCCTCAACAATAAGTCTGAACACCACTACAGATTCCTTATCTCATTAGGTGTTTAGTATAAAAATATATTTTCCTTTCCCACAAAATGGGGGCAGATAAAAGTCAACATAATTCAATGTAGGCTGGATTTAGATCTCTTGTGGGTGTAAAGGGACTTGAGACTGATGACATGCTTGACCCCTCCCAGATCATCTGCTACAATACTAATATTTAAGAAAGATATTTGCAGCTAGAATGTTTGCTTTTATACTCATCAGTGATGAAATACATCAATCAAATGTAAAATGAAGGTGAATGGAGAAACTTTTTCCAGTGCTGCCATGCTCCTGTTGGAGTCTGAATCTGAGGAGGAAGATAAACAGCTGACAGGGAGAGGGGGTTGTTAGGAATATAAGTCACCTAACAGGTATTTGGGTTAGAAATATATAAACCAGGATAAACATTTTAGTACTATATCTTTAAGAGATTGCAAAAACTGCAATTGGGTGTGGTTTCTCAAACGGCCATAAGATGGAGCCAGAAACTTGGGTTGTTTAGTCTTAATCTCAGAAGAGAGTGTGTCTCTATCTCTGTTTCCTTCTGTTGGAAAGCATTGCCATTGCTCCATTTCTTCTAATTGACTGATATTACTGGATTTAATGTAAGTCTGATACTGAACTGTTTTTGACACTGGAATTTGATGTTTGGATTATCCCTGGATGAAAACTGACTGATTTACCTGTGAATGACTTTTGGACTGCTTATTTTGGACTTTGCTTAAACCTTTCTGGAAGTAAAAACCTACATTTACTGTACAGTGTATCTGTGTGCTCTGTGTGTATTATTCCAACACTACTCTCTATACGTCTCCCTGTATGCGCTCATTCTCCTAACAGGGAATTACCTCAACACTGGTTATGGGCCCAGGCCATACTAGGCTCAGATAACTGAGAGTTAGTGTGAATACACAGTACTGTATACAGACAGCTGTTTACTGTTTAATTCTGGTTTACTATCCTGATAAAGATGGCACAAGTCACTTCAACATGTCTATCACTGATAACCCAGTTGGATGGAACAAACTATGTTTCCTGGTCTATGAAATGCAGTCTACTTCTGCGTAGAGAAGGTTTATGGAATGTAGTTCAAGATCCACCAGATGTAAATGCTTGGGATCCAGAAAATGAGGATGATGCCAAGAAGCTTGCTGACTTTAAACAGAATAACGAATGAGCTCTTTGTATAATTGGACTAACACTGAGTGACCAGCAGCTAGTCCATATTCGTGGAGAACAGTCTGCTGCTAAGTGTTGGGAGAATTTGAAGAGGATTTATGTTTGTGACAGTGTAGGTGCACACATACATCTTACATGTAAACTGTTTAGAGCACATCTTCTGAAAGGTGGAGATATGTTAGCTCATTTAAACTTCATGAAAAGAACTTTTCAAGAGTTACATGAAAAAGAACTGATATTTTCAGAGCTGCATCAAGTTTACATCATTCTTTCCTCATTGGATGAAAGTTATAATGATTATGTATCTTCACTGGAAGTCCTGCCCAAAGATAAACTGACATTGACTGAAATAACTGGAAGATTGCTAGAAGAAGCAAGAAGATGGCTGGAAAGAGACCAACTGAGGAAGGAACAACCACAAGAAGAGGATTTGTCTTCAACAGCCTATACTGTTAGGAAATGTTTTTCTTGTGGGGCTAGGGGACATATAGCTAAATTCTGTAAGAAGGGAAAACAACAGAATACTGGTAAACACCAGAAGGCCAAGAAGAATGTTAGTTTGGCTATGTCTAGCAATTCAACTGTAAACCATGATTTGTGGGTTGTTGATAGTGGAGCATCACAATGCATTAGTAAAGATAGAAAAAGGTTTGTAAAGATGTCCACGAGTAAACAACATGTAACATTGGCAAATGGATGGAAAATTAACGCATCAGGTGAAGGTACTCCATATTGTTCTTGCATAAACGAACATTTAACTATGTTATATGTACCTAAACTAAAATTTAATTTATTATCAGTAAGGGCTTTAGTTAATCTTGGTTATGTAGTAACCTTTAGGGGAGATAACTGTATAATAGAGAAAGAGGGTAAAAGTGTCACTGCTACTTTAAAGAATGATTTATATGCAATACATGATGATCAGTTGAAGATGGCTAACTCAGTTTATAACAATTTTAAGCCACATGATGAATGTATACATTTACTGCATAGACGTCTAGGGCACATTAATTTCAAAATGCTCAAACAAACTGTTGAATTGTCAGAGGGAGTAAAATTGAAACCCTGTAGCAAGTATTTACACTGTAATGCTTGTAGTCAAGAAAAGAGTAAGGTTACTCCAGCAAACAGACTTAATGGGTTTAAGACCAAAGAACCTTTAGAGGTTGTTATCTGATTCAGGTTTACCTGAAACACTGTGGGGTGAAGCCATAATGTGTAGCAACCATGTTTTGAACAATGTAGTTAACACAACAACTGGTGAATTGCCATTCACTCGTTGGCATGGCAGAAAACCAAATTTAAGTTACCTACACACATTTGGAGCTCCAGCATGGGTGCATATTCCCTCACAAGTAAGACTGAAAGGGCAACATAGAGCTAAGAAGTTATTTTTTGTGGGTTATGTGGCCAACCATAGATCATTTAGATTCTGGGATCAAGGCACAGCTCATGTTTATTGTAGTGCTAGTGCAAAATTTCTCGAGCACGTTGGGTGGGATAAACTGGAACAGGAATCCAGCAATGATATTATTATTGACACCCAAATAGTCCCTAAAGATGATATCAGTAAACAACAAATAGCCATTAAAGAGGAAGAACAGGAGGAAGTAGGAGAACAAGCACAGGAGGAGGTAGAAGAACAGGAGCAGGTGGCACAGGAAAGTCCATCAGTTAGCCCTGTATTACCAAGATGTTCAACCCGAGTAACACGAGCACCTGATAGATATCAGGCTAGTGTTGTATGTGATGTGAATACAGTTCCAAGTAATTATAGTGAAGTAAATATGTATCCTGCTAAGGATCAGGCTGCTTGGTAGAAAGCAATGGATAAGGAACTGGAATCATTAAAAAGACTGGAGGTATACGAAAATGTTAAGTTACCACCAGGTAAACATGCCATAGGATGTAAATGGATATATAAACTGAAGACAGGTGTAGATGGGACTGTTACCCATAAAGCCAGGTTAGTAGCACAAGGGTTCAATCAGACAGCAAATGACTATGATGAGGTGTTTGCTCCTAGTCTGAAGGCTACTACATTAAGGGCAGCATTAGTGTGGGCAGCTAAGGAGAAATACATTGTAAATCATTTGTATGTAGAGACAGCTTATCTGCATGCACCGTTGCAACACACTATATATTTAAAGAAACCTTTAGGTCTCAAAAATGATAATACTGATAATAATGATTGCTGGAAATTGAAAAAGAGTCTTTATGATTTAAAGCAATCAGGATATGAGTGGAACCAATGTATAGTTAAAGAATTAAATAAGATAGGCTTTGTAACTGGCATGGCTGATCCATGTTTGTTTAAAAGAGAAAGTAATGGTATAGTGTCATTATTGCTATTATTTACTGATGATATAGCATTAATCACCAAAACTGAACAAGAAGCTACTGAGATAATTTCACTATTGGAACATAAATTTAAGATAAAACAGTTAGGAGAAATCAAACATTATCTTGGTTTAAAGGTAGGTAGAACTAGGGGAGGATACAAGATCTCACAAGCAGATAAAATTAACCAATTACTAAAAAGTTTTAAAATGGAACTTTGTAAACCGACTAAGACACCAATGAGCCAGGAGTTCAAAGTCCTATTTTTGATAAGAAGAACTACCAGTCTTTGATTGGTAGTTTATCTTATCTCAGTAATTGGTCAAGGCCAGATATAGCATACAATGTTAATCAATTAGCGAGATTTAATGCTGAGCCAACTGAAAGGCACTGGCAAGCTGCTAAACATGTGTTAAGATATCTGAAACAAACAATGCACTATGCATTGTATTTGAAGCCAAAAGATGAATTGAATTTAACTGCATATGCTGATGCAAGTTTTGCTACAGACATAAATACACGAAAATCTACATCGGGTACTGCTGTATTATTTGGAAAAGCATTGATTGGATGGAGATCTATTAGACAGAAACATCTAAGTTTATCAACAATGGAGGCTGAATTCTCATGTTTGTCTTTATTATGTACAGCTTTAGTTTTGTATAAGCAATTATTAATTGATATGGGAATTGATGTAACAGATCCTATTGTTATTTACAAAGATAACCAATCAGCAATACAGATGGCTTCAAATATTGCTGTTAAAACAAGAATGAAACACACAGATTTAAGATATTTAAATGTGAGACAATGTGTGCAAAGTAAGATGATTAAGCTAGAATACTGTATGTCAGAAAACAATAGCAGATCATTTTACAAAGGCCCAAGGCTCTATAAAGCATAAGGCATGCTGTGAAGATTATGGAATTAGAATGTAAGGTTGTATGTATTATCTTAGCCAAAAGGGGAGAATGTTAGGAATATAAGTCACCTAACAGGTATTTGGGTTAGAAATATATAAACCAAGATAAACATTTTAGTACTATATCTTTAAGAGATTGCAAAAACTGCAATTGGGTGTGGTTTCTCAAATGGCCATAAGATGGAGCCAGAAACCTGGGTTGTTTAGTCTTAATCTCAGAAGAGAGTGTGTCTCTATCTCTGTTTCCTTCTGTTGGAAAGTATTGCCGTTGCTCCATTTCTTCTAATTGACTGATATTACTGGATTTAATGTAAGTCTGATACTGAACTGTTTTTGACACTGGAATTTGATGTTTGGATTATCCCTGGATGAAAACTGACTGATTTATCTGTGAATGATTTTGGACTGCTTATTTTGGACTTTGCTTAAACCTTTCTGGAAGTAAAAAAAAAACTACATTTACTGTACAGTGTATCTGTGTGCTCTGTGTGTATTATTCCAACACTACTCTCTATACGTCTCCCTGTATGCGCTCATTCTCCTAACAGAGAATTACCTCAACAGGGGTGCCATTGTAACTTTGAATGGTCACTCCACACAAACAAAGTACCAGCAAAGGAGGGAAAAAAAACTCCAGATAAGTTCTTGAGACAGGAAGTCTAGTCCTGCCAAGAATGTAATAAGGGTTAACGGAGTGGCAGTTTCTGTAAGCAATACCAGAATATTTTCTTCCTGCCTTCCTTACAGGATTAGGCCAGTAATTTCTTCTAACAACTGGTTCTCCAAACTGCTTAGAATCTTAACAACTGGTTCTAGTGAATAGGTGCGAACTGGTAGAATCCCACTCCTGAGTGGCTCCGTTGGCTGTGGAGGAAACTGGGTAGAGCAGAAGAGAGATAGAATAAGGGAGAGGGAGTTCATCGGACTCAGACCCACCCCCTCTTCATCCTAGGGCATGCAGGGAGGAACAGAGAAGAGAGCAACATGGATTGCATGGCTTACAGGGGTGGAAAGAGCCCTGATTCCCTTCATTAGCCACATCTGGAAATGAGAGTTTAAAAGAAATTAATGCTGTGTGCAGCAGCTTCTGGGAGCAAATGTGAGTTTATCTTGTGTTGACTTTAGTTATCTGTGTTCCTGGCATCTTCCCAACCATGTGGAAGCCATTGCCATACCTTTACATCTGGAATTGTATCTCCTGCCCTGCTGGACTAATTACCTCATTTTGCCTTGATTGGACTTATATTTTCAGTTTTTGTTGACCACATTTTGGACTTGATTCTCTGCAGCCAAAAGCTGTTCCTGGGATAGTTTTTCTCCAGTCAGAAGATAACCAGGACATTGGGGGCAAAGTTGGAGCTAATAAACAGACTCTTACTGATTATCTGACTATGTTCCCTTTGTGCCATGCCCTGGGTCATCACAAGTGCCTTACAGTGGTGGGATTCAAATTGTTTTTACTACCAGTTCTGCGGGCATGGCTTGGTGGACTTGGCAGGGGAAGGCTACTGTAAAATCTCCAGTCAGAGGTGGTATTTGCCAGTTCTCCGAACTACTCCAAATTTCTGCTACCGGTTCTCCAGAACTGGTGAGAACCTGCTGAATACCACCTCTGGTGCCTTACCTTTCAACTGAATCTATCATAAGATTGATTGTCATTATGTCTCACCTTCTCCCATGTATTTCCATCCTAAGATCATTTACGGGTCATCTCCAATAATAGAAGACAAAACAAAAGAAGATTTCTTCCATCAGATGTTTCCAAATGGGACCCATCAATATATGGGAATCCTAGAATTGCTGATGCATTTCAAGTGGACCTGGATTGGTGTAGTAGCATATAATGATGGCAATGGAGAAATATTTAAGCAGAATATACTTCCCATTTATTCTCAGCATGGCATTTGTGTGGACTTCTTAGAAACAATGCCCAAAATGTCCTTTTCAGGTGATGTTGCTGAAGCAGCAGTGGAATGGTTTTCAACTTCATGTCTTGTCACAGGAAGTACTGCCAATACTGTTATTATACAAGGTGAACTGCATACTATTAGTGTATTAAGATCAATTTTCCACTTTGCACAGTTCTATGATATAGCAGTTGAAAGCCGAGTGTGGATCATGACAGCCCAGATGGATTTTGCTTCTCCTGGTTTTCTAAAAGAATGGGACATACATTGCCTCCATGGAGCTCTGTCCTTTGCAATTCACACAAATTATCCTAGAGGATTCCAGAAGTTTCTGCAGAAAAGAAATCCTGTTTCAGAAAATAGGGATGACTTTATCAGAGTCTTGTGGAAAGATGCATTTAATTGTGATTTCTCAAATTCCCCTCTAGAAGAGAAAGATGAGGAGATCTGCACTGGGGAGGAAAAGTTGGAGAATCTACCTGTGACCCTCTTTGACACAAGCATGTCTGGTCACAGTTATAGCATCTACAATGCAGTATACATTATGGCTCATGCTTTGCAAGAAATAACTTCATCCAAGACAAAACAGAGAGCGAAGTTGAAAGAGAGAGCACAAGATCGATTAAATCAGGAGCCATGGCAGGTATTTTGCAGAACAATATAGTAGAATTTCAGTCAATATTTCTTTCTCCTAAATAATTTTTCTGCTTGTACATGTTTTTATAATACCATAAAGAAATAGAGCTTCAAAGGCATTTTTCCTTCTGCTAATTTTCTGTACTATGGATGGGTGTATTAATACAAAATTTGCCTCACATCAATTTGAGGGAGTAGAGCCAATTTGGTCTAGTGGTTAAGGCACCAGGCTAGAAAGAAAGAGACCATGAGTTCAAGTCCCACCTTATCCACAAAAGCCAGCTGGGTAGCCTTGGGTCAGTCACACACTCTCTCTCTCTCTGCTCAACCCACTTCACAGAGTTATTGTTGTAGGAAAAATAGAAAAAGGAAAGTGTGTTGGATATGTTCACCTCCTTGAGTTGTTTGGTCAAATAATAAAAGTGATATACAAATAAATAAATAAAAATGGAGCATGATTTTTTAAAGAAAAGAAAGAGAATAGATAGTCCTAAACAGATGAATCTGGGCCACATTAAAGATACCACTTGTTCAAATGTGTCACCTCAGCTTTCCTTGTTAATGTTATCATGCAGCCACAACAGTTCACTATCTTCTCCTTTTCCTTCTCCTTCTCCTTCCCTTTTTTGAACTGAAATTAGTGCTATTAGAGTATCTTGAATATTTAATATTGATCTCTGCAACAATGTATTTTTTTTTCTAGACCGGTACCCAGAGTTTTCAAGACAGTGTCTCATCTTATCATTTTCTCTCAACTTTTTCCTCTATTTAGTTCCACAGGTTTATAAGAAGTACTTTCTTTAAAAACAATGCTGGTGAAAATATTTCCTTTGATAACAAGGGACATATAATTGCTGGATTCGATATTTTCAACTGGGTCACATATTCAAATAACACATTCACAAAAATCAAAGTTGGATGGATAGACCCAGACCCTTCCTCTTCTAAATCACTCCGCATTGATGATGATTCTATTAAATGGCCCACAAGATTTTATCAGGTGCATACAGATCTGGAGATATTTTAACTTACATTCTGAATATTTGAAAATTGTTGACTTGTGTTTTGAATTAGGATGTACTCTTTTGATTTGTGTTCAATTAGATGACAGATCATTGGTGACCTTTTTCAAATAAGTGGTTTTTTTTCAATATAAACATACATATTTTATGAACATTGCATTAACTCGGTCAAGTCTTTTTTAAGCAACAATAATACAAATAGGTATATGTAGTTCTAATCTTCCAACTTCAACAAGGCTAATATCTTTTCATAATCCATTTCTCATTTTCCCATTAATTCATTTAAACATAAATAAAATTTCTTTGTGCCTTGTATTTATGGTCCCTAAATACTATTATTTAATATTTTTTAAAAATTTATCATAGTACCACCATAACTTGAATATTCCAAATATGTATAGTTAATGCTAATGTGTAAGGTTAATGCTAATAATGCTAAATATTGACAATATTAGTCAATCCCGAGACTATATCTCAAAATCCCACACAGTTCCTAGTCCTTAATTATTTTAAATTCATAATGTACTTTAGCACATTATTAATATTAATAATACAGTTTGGTTACCTAATTCTAAATTCCCATCTACTGTCTTGGCTTATTTGGATTATATTATTAAATTATATTTTCTATTAGGTATATATATTACTATTTTCCCTGTATATATTTTCCCATTTTATTGAAATGTTTTCTCATTATCCATCATCTCTTGATCTTTTTGACTTTTTTTTTCCCTGAAGCACTGGCAAAATGGCCCAGATGGGCAAGAGAGTAGTAAAAACCTTAATGTTTGTGATTTATGATATTGAGAAGTTTATTTGATTTAAATATTTTGCTAGCTTAATGAAGTGGGTTTAGTTGCTAAAAATTTCTGTTTTGGATAGAGCAAAATAATCAAATTCGGCTCCCAAGTCCTTATCATATTGCTTATTATAATCCTAGCACAAAATCAAAATAACATATTTGATAACTTATAGTATTTGGATTTGATCCACTACCTTTCTTATAGGAATAGTTGCCAATAAATTATTACATCAGTAAAATTAAACTTACTTTTGCTAGGATATATTGGAAATAAATAATAATAATTAAAAGAAGAGCTGATTATATGGTAACCAAAAGCACTTAAAAGTAAATACAAATTTATACATTAAACCTTCATGTCTTTTAAGAAATTAAAAGAAATTAATTGATTAATTAATTAAAAAAGCAAAAAATAAAACCATGGAATTTTTTTCCATAGGTCTATATAATCTAATGAAAGAAACATTTAAAAAAAATGCTTTGAGTGAAGTTTATTTGAAAGAACATGGTCATAGTCAGAGGTGGTATTCAGCAGGTTCTGACCAGTTCTGGAGAACCAGTAGCTGAAATTTTGAGTAGTTTAGAATACCACTTCTGACTGACCCTGCCCCCATCTATTCTCTGCCTCCTGATTGGCTGAATCTTCTTTTGTTGCCCTGCACAGGAGAACAAAGCTGGAAAGCAAGTTAGTGGGGTGGGGAGGGAATGGGGATTTTGCAGTATCCTTCCCCTGCCACACCCACCAAGCCACGACCAAATGACCGGTAGTAAATTTTTTTGAATCCCACCACTGGTCATAGTATCTCAAAAACAGCAGATTGAGTCCTCATTTTATTCACCTCTATTTACAGAAAAGACCACATTCCATGTGTAATGACTATTGTGCTTCAGGTTCAAGTAGGAGTGAAATTGAAGGAAAGCCATTTTGCTGCTATAAGTGCATACCATGTCCAGAAGGGAAGATGGCAAGTGAGAAAGGTAAAATAAACAGCACAAACATTTCGTATAAAGACTGTTCAGGAAAAGAAATTCCAGTTCTATAGAGAAGATAAAGATAAGGTCTAGTTAGATGAGCAAAACAATTTCCTGTCGACTTTCCAATTACCTTTCCAGTCAATATTGAGTCCTGTCAGAATTGAACTTCAGACAATGGGCAGAGTTAGCCTGCAATACAGTATTCTAACTACTGCACCAACAGCTAAAGGTTCAAAGAGATAGATAGATAGATAGATAGATAGATAGATAGATAGATAGATAGATAGATAGATAGATAGATAGATAGATAGATAGGGGGAGGAAAAAATTCTATAAACAATCACTGGTTTTTAGAATGAAGGCTTTACCTCAATAAACATGGGATGTATTGCTATATTTAAATTGAATTTGCTTGGATATTGGCTGTCTTCCATTACATATACATTTTAATTTATATAATCTCTTTCCTTCTTAAATCTATGGTTATAAAGACAGTTCTATATTAATTTGCTAAACTTTATCACAAGAACTACAACAATTACAACATTAGTCCAATTTTGCATCAAAGAGGGATAAAAGTAAATGTCAATTTAAATTGAGTACAATTCTATATACTATCCTTGGCCGTATTAAAGAAGTGATTTATTGGTGCCTTCAGTCTGCCCAACAGCTTTATAAATATCATGGGAGCCTCCAATTGAAGCATTAATAAGTAGTACACCACTTACTTCTATTAATATCTTAATTAATGCAGAATCTTCTACATGCAATAACAGCATTTTCTTCTGTAGATATGGATGATTGCATATTATGCCCAGAAGGACAATATCCAAACAACAACCATGATTCATGCCTTCCAAAGCGCATAGTTTTTCTGTCATATGAAGACCCTTTAGGGACCAGTTTGGCCACTACTGCAATTGTCTTTGCTTGCATTGCCACTGCAGTGCTTGGGATCTTCATCAAATACCAGGACACTCCCATAGTCAAGGCCAACAACCGGAACATCACCTACCTTCTTCTCATCTCCCTTGTGCTCTCATTCCTTTGCAGTTTATTATTCATTGGAAAGCCAAAAATGGTGACCTGCCTTTTGCGACAAACTGCTTTTGGGATTGTCTTCTCAGTAGCCATTTCGTGTATATTGGCCAAAACCATCATTGTGATTTTAGCTTTCATGGCTTCAGTGCCAGGATCCAGGTTGAGGAGATGGCTGGGCAAACGATTAGATAATTACATTGTTGTTTCCTGTTTCTTCATTCAAGTTGTTATTTGCATTGTATGGCTTGTAATCTCACCCCCATACTCAGATGCTGATATGAACCTAGTGTCAGATGAAATCATTCTGGGATGTAACGAAGGCTCTACTGTCATGTTTTACTGTGTCTTATTCTACCTGCTTTTCCTTGCCATTGTTGGCTTCAGTGTGGCTTTCCAAGCACGGCATTTACCAGACAGTTTTAATGAGACAAAGTTTATCTCCTTTAGCCTGTTGTGTTTTTGCAGTGTCTGGTTGTCCTTTTTCCCAACCTATCTGAGTACCAAGGGGAAATACATGGTGGCTGTGGAGATCTTTTCTATTCTCTCTTCCAGTGCAGGGTTACTGGGTTGCATCTTTCTCCCCAAATGCTTTGTTATTCTACTAAGGCCGGATCTGAATGATAAAAAGCAGTTAATGAGATAAGAAAGAACTATAATTCCATATTTTTTCAGTAAAAAAATACATTGTCATATATATTCATAAAATTCAACTCAAACCTGATCAAACAAACAGATAATCAGAGTTGGAATGGACCTTGTAGGTCATCTAGTCCAAGCCCCTGCCCAAGTGGGAGACCCTACACCATTTCTGACAAATTGAGGTCCAATCTCTTCTTGAAAGTCTCAAGTGATGGCACTCCCATAACTTCTGAGGGCAAACTGCTTTATAATGAAGCTGTTGCAAGTCATAGCAAATATGTGTCTTCTGATTGCCCAGGCAGTTATCAATATCACTTACCATCGACTTTAAAATAAATTGACAAAGTGAAAAAATTATGACCCCAGAGATATCCACCTGCATTCTAATAAATAAAACACTAACAATGAATTACTTATTCTCCTGAAATAATATTTTCTTTCTTTCCTTCCTTCTAATTGCTTGTGAAATAATATTGAGAATACATTAACATGCCAAATTCAGAGATGGTATTCAGCAGGTTCTGACCAGTTCTGCAGAACCAGCAGCAGAAATTTTGAGTAGTTCAGAGAACTGGCAAGTATCACTTCTGATTGGCCCCACCTCCATCTCTTATCTGCCTCCCAAGTCCCTGATGATTGTCTGGGTCTCTTTTGTTGCCCTGGACAGGAAAAAGGAGCTGGAAAGCAGTTAGTGGGGTGGAGAGGGAATGGGTATCTTTCCCCTGGAGTGGGGTGGGAATGGAAAGTTTACATTATCCTTCCCCTGCCACACCCTCCAAGCCATGCCCTGCCCACCAAGCCCTGCCCACAGAACTGGTAGTAAAAAAATTCAAATCCCACCACTGTTTAATGGAAGTACAAGAACATCATTGTTCCCTACATTATAGAAATTCTCTATATTAAAGAAAGATGCAGTTTAATTGCTCTGGTTATATTGTTTGAAGTTGGCAAAAATTAGATTACTTCTCTATAGTGCATGTTTTGATATTTAGTCACTATAATATCTTTGAAGAAAATAAAGCATGTTATAAATTGGTTTGTGAAACTGACCAGATGTATCCATGAGAATAACACTGTGATTTAATAATTTCCAAACCTGATTTGAGAAAATATTTTTATAATTGATCCATGCAGTTGACTTGAAGGGCTGTGTTTTCCACAGTTGAGCTGTTGATATAGCAATAGCACTTAGACTTATATACCACTTTATAGTGCTTTACAGCCCTCTCTAAGCGGTTTACAAAGTCAGCATATTGCCCCCAACAATCTGGGTCCTCATTTTACCCACCTCGGAAGGATGGAAGGTTCAGTCAACCTTGAGCCGGGTGGGATTTGAACAGCTGATAGTCAGCAGAAGTGGCCTGCAGTACAGCACTCTAACTACTGCACCACCGAGGCTCTATATATCATAGATATGGTTATGTCTAGATAGAATGTGCATTCAAAACTATGATTTAACCCCAACAATTGCCCATGACATAGGATGTTTACTCAAAATTACCAGCATATCCTGGCCTTGGCATTTGCTGTGAAGGAAATCAATGAGAATACCGAACTCTTAGCCAATGTGAGTTTAGGCTTCCACATTTTAAACAGCCATTTCTTTGCAAGATGGACCTATCTTGCCTCAATCGAACTAGTACTAGTACAGATTGAGATTCTTTTTTTGTCTCATTTAGTTCCTATAGTCTATATGTTTTATTATTTTTATATTAAATTTCTGATGAATAAATTTGATGAAAATGTTATGTTTTGAAGCTATGCTTTTAGACTTAGAGAGAGTAAAATTTTCTGAAGAAATAAACTTTTATTATATTAAATGCAACTACTTTTCCAATTCTGATACCCTGTCATCACACAGTTGTACAGTTCACTTGGACACTGTTCCCCTCCTTTTCCTTTCCTCCCTCCCTCCTCCTCTTCCTCCTAATTGGAATGAGTACCATGAGTGTACTAGGGTGTTTAATTCTTGTCCTCTGCAGCAATGTGTTCATTCCATTACTCATAGTTTTCAACTTTGATAGGACTATTCTAAAAAGTACAGTATTTTATAACATCATGTCTCTCCACCATCTCCCCATTTTAGCTACACAAGTTCCTGAGAAGTACTTTCTTTAAAAACAGTGCTGGAGAAAATGTATCCTTTGATGATGATGGACATATAATTGCTGAATTTGATATTTTCAACTGGGTTAATATTCAAATAACACATTTTAAAAAGTCAAAGTTGGATGGATAGACCCAAATTATTTTTCTTCTAAATTGCTCAATATTCATGAAGACTCCATTGTATGGCCCGCTAGATTTAACTAGGTATATATTACCTCAGCAATAATATGTTCATTACCACCACACAGTAGGATTTCCAATTCATTTTTCATAACACTTTTAGTCTGATTTAACTGGCGGACACTTCCTTCTGATTCTAACTACTCTTTATATTTGAGGATAAGATCACCAAAATTAAAATATATTAATTGACCCTAAGTCCACCAGTCTGAGTTTGCAACAATTTCTTTTCTTAAAAATAAGCTTCCAGGGTGGACATCCAAAGAGGCATCTTCACCTTGTTTTATATTTATTCCAAACTCTTAGGAAGCCTCTTGATTAACTGGTCCTAACTATTACCTTGCTGATGTTTTTAAGCTGTGCACATTGCCTACTGTCCAATGGAGTTGGGTGGGCAATCAAATATATAAATTTGCCACTGCATCCAATTTGTATAACGCTATGTAAAGTCTTTGTATCCTTCCCTCTAAATCAATACAATACAATAAATATTCTGTCCTTCAATGAAATTATGAGCTGGTCTTCAAATTAAATATATCCATGTGAAAATTTGTGAGAGAAATTTCTTCTTCAACATATATTCCCATGTTGTATTTTAAAAGTATTAATTTGATAATATGTCTGATAATATATAATATGTTTGATAATATTAGTTTGATAATATGTCTGAGATATATATATTCACAGAAGGGTAGACATTCATTTTCCAGTCGTTGGTCTGCATGGATAGTTCTAAAGCTGTCTTTCATCACCCATCTTTTCCATAAAACAATAAGAAAAATCAATGGCTTCTTATACTGCTGTAATTTAATCTGATGAATTTAACATTGAATTACAATAATTACAATTTTTACTAGTCTAATTGTTCATCAGTTAGAATATTAAGTAGATTAATAAAGGGGAGTGTCAAAATAAATTTGACCTAAGTATAATTCTAACCACATTCTTGGCTGTCCTACAGAAGTGATTTATTAGTGTCTATAGTCTAGCAATAGCTCTGTAACTACCACACAGCCTCCCATTGAAGCATTAAGCTGGACTGACTGTGTTAAAATTCTTACTTAGGTCAGTATTAAAGATGTCTTCATTAATGCAGAATCTTCCACACAGTAATAATAACATTTTCTTCTGCAGACATGGATGATTGTTTACCATGCCCAGAAGAACAATATCCAAACAATAACCATGACTCATGCCTTCCAAAGTGCAGTTTTTCTGTCATTTGAAGACCCTTTAGGGACCAGTTTGGCCACTACTGCAATTGTCTTTGCTTGCATTGCCACTGTGGTGCTTGGGACCTTCATCAAATACCAGGACATTCCCATAGTCAAGGCCAACAACCGGATCATCACCTACCTTCTTCTCATCTCCCTTGTGCTCTCATTCCTTTGCAGTTTATTATTCATTGGAAAACCTGAAATGGTGAGCTGCCTTTTGCAACAAACTGCTTTTGGGATTGTCTTCTCAGTAGCCATTTAGTATATATTGGCCAAACCCATCATTGTGATTTTAGCTTTCATGGCTTCAGTGCCTGGATCCAAGATGAGGAGGTGGCTGGGCAAACAATTAGATAATTACATTGTTGTTTCCTGTTTCTTTGTTCAAGTCATTATTTGCATTGTATGGCTTGTAACCTCACCCCTGTTCTGACCCAGCCAAAGTTTCCAAAAGCAAACACAGATAAACTCAGTAACTCAAACTTTCACTGCTTAATCTACAAATAAACCTCTTTGTAGATAACAGATGGCTTGCAGCCAATTAGTCCAATTAGAAAAACCTTGGCAAAAATAAATCAGAGTCTCTCACCACACTGAGTCCTTTGAATTTTGCCATTGCAAAAGGCAAAAAATGTTTGAAACCAGGCTTATATTCCCTAAAGGGAGGTGCCATTAATTAGCATTCTTACTTCTGAGTCGCCTGTGCTGCTCTTCCATGAATCATCCTGCTCCCACTCACACCAAGCACAGGCTCTTCAGGAACGTCCGCCTCATTGCTGCTGGCTAACCACAACATCCCCATAATCAGATACAGATATGAACCTAGTGGCAGATGAAATCATTCTGGGATGTAACGAAGGTTCTACTGTCATGTTTTACTGTGTTTTATTCTACCTGACTTTACTTGCCATTTTTGGCTTCATTGTGGCCTTCCAAGCCCGGCATTTACCAGACAGTTTTAATGAGACCAAGTTTATCTCCTTCAGCCTGTTATGTTTTTGCAGTGTCTGGTTGTCCTTTTTCCCAACCTATCTGAGTACCAAGGGGAAATACATGGTGGCTGTGGCGATCTTTTCTATTCTCTCTTACAGTGTAGGGTTACAGGGCTGCATCTTTCTCCCCAAATGTTTTGTTATTCTACTAAGGCCTGATCTGAATGACAAAAAGCAGTTGATGAGAGCAAAGAAAGAAGAACTATAATTCCATATTTTTTCAGTAAAAAAATACATTGTCATACATATTCACAAAATTCAACTCAAACCTGGAACTGCTCTATAATCAATATCTTGCAAGTCATGGCAAACTTATCTCTTCTGATAAGGCAGTTATGCTACAGGTAGTTATCTATATTACTTACCATAGACTTTCAAACAAATTAACAAAAATGATATCCACCTGCATTCTAATAAATAAAACACTAACAATGAATTACTTATTCTCCTGAAATAATATTTTCATTTTCTTTCTTTCCTTCCTTCTAATTGCTTGTGAAATAATA